CTTGGATTAGATTATTCAAATCCAAGATTCTTAATTTTTAATTATTATGAAATCAACTATTTTATTTCATTGGTTTTTGTAACGTGATCAGTATGACAGTATTATATTTATTTATTTTTAATAAAATTTATAAAATACTTTATCGGCGTGCTTGTATTTACAAAATGTATACATATGATGAATATGTTGATTCTATTCAGAAGAAAAACAGMAATATATGCAACTACTACAACTACACGATAGCCTTAACAATGAGCCACAGAAAACTGCGTATATGTACTTAGGTTTACGTACATGTATCTAAAAATCAATGATACCTATAGCCTATACAAAATCATATTGTTTGTTATTTCGTATCTGTTTTTCACTCGAATAAATTATTCGTATATTCATTGTGTCATTTCCATTTCACATACATACGGACAACTAACAAGCATATTTCAATATCGTCGATGGAACTAAAACATCTCAACAAAAATTGACCGTATTCTTTTTAAAGTTCTTTAAAATGACATAAAGTGATTAGATAATTGTTACGTCCACTATAATAATATTATGCCAATGCATACTCAATTATGCACATTATGCACTATAATCGTTAATAATTTCCGGMTGTGATATATATAGTTAGATACATACATAATCACAGATTCAATATGTCAATGTTTAGGTACATCAACAAAATTAATATACACTTATGATAAAACAGTATCACTTATACATAATAGCATGAGACAATAAATTTTAAAAGACGWGACAGAATATTGTATTATTATAAACAGTATTCCCCGAAGATTTACCCATCGCGGTATCTCCTGAAATAATTGAGATATCAAAATTCTGATTTTATAATAAGACTCACAGGGATAAGAACTATAATTATTTTATTTTTAAATTTATTTTAATGTTTTGTTAAAAAATCTCAAAAATATATTTTTTTTAAATATAGCCATTTTTTAAAGTTTATTTTTCTGAAAAATGAAGTTTCAATATTTAATTTTCATTAATATCTTAGTTTTTAATATTTTTTCTAGTTTCGAAACTGTTTTACCAAACATTAAAATTAGTTAAATTATYAAATAATTTAGACATTATCCCTGTGAGTCTTATTAAAAAATCAGAATTTTGATATCTCTATTATTTTGAGAGACATCGCAATGGGTTAATCCTCACGGGATACCTTGTATATAATGATATAATATTTTGTCACYTCTTTTCTAATCTTCCTATGCTATAACTTATAAGTTAAACTGTTTAATTACAAGYGTATATTAATTTTGTTGACTTAAACATTGACATCTTGAATCWGTGATTATTTATCTATGTATCACAGCTGTTGTAGTAAGTGCATTACACATTTCAAAACTCGACCATAGATATAGTTATGCTTTATGYAATATGTACCACAAGYATTTGTAAGAATCCCAAGTATGCAAATTATTTTGGTAATATTATAGAGTGGAATAATTATGTTATTGTATKTCAAATCAACAATAGTAGTGGCATTTAATTGACAAAGGAAAACAATTCAAAGAGTAGTGATTACATTGAGGTACCATGTTAATRCATAATATCTATATTCTAGTCTCTAGAAGGTAGATATTAAATAACGTATGTTCCAAAAACAACGTGGTATCTGTGATTGTTAAACAAATATTTCATGGATTTTATGACAATTTTTTTTTTAGTTAGATCAAAAACTTCAAAAAACTATGCCCATTGATTTTTAGTTGTTACTTCATAGTATAGAGATGCTATCAGTTTATAATCCTCCAAACATTTTTTTTCTGAATAACTAAGTAAATTTGTGAAATACTAATTTATTAAAAATATTTTCCTGTACTCATAGCTGGTACTTGACATATTAACCCATTTGATCGTTATAGGCTACTTAAAAATAAACTTCAAAAAATAGCCATCATCAAYCTAAAGAATWTAAATTTATTTTTAGTTAAATATAAAAAAATATTTTTGAACTATTTTACCAAAACATTAAAATAAATTTAAAAATGAAATAATTGTAATTCTTATCCCCATGAGYAGGAACGGTGCTAGGATTTGCGGGGCCCCGGGCAAAATAAATAACAGTCACATTACATATTATCCAAACTAACTAATCTCTGAACAGTATAAAATATCATTTAAGAACTGCGGGGCCTTGATTATAGTTTTAAAATCGCGGGGCCCGTGGCAACTGCCCGATTGCCCTCCCCCCTCGCGTCGTCACTGCCCGTGAGTCTCATAACAAAACCAGATTATTGTTATCTCCATTATTTCGTGAGATATCGCAATGGGTAAATCCTTACAGGACACCCTGTAGATATACTGTTAACAAATAAACAAAAAACCTAAAAATTAATGAATATGAATAATATAAAAWTTAATTTAATTTTAGGCTAACATGAAAATTAAATTAGTAGACTGTCAAGMCAAGTACAATCAAAAATATATAGCTTCTTTAATTTGTTTTGAATGTAGGATTTATTTTATTTTTATTTYATTTCAATCATAAATGTATATCTAAATATAGAATCATTAAATAAAAATAAATAAAAAATAGAAATGACCCCACCAAAGTGATCACATTAAACGGAACCCACTGTATATTAATTCAATATTCAATGTTTTAAAAAAAGAAATTACAAAAGTAATTTATTTTTGCTTTGAGTTTTTAAACTAAAATATAATTTTMTTAGTAGAACTCAATGGATCATAATATGTATATATTTTTAAATTTCAATTTATGACTCTCATCAAACATGAAAATATACGTAATGCGCGTATTATATAATATCTAATACTCATATAGTGTAAAATATCATATTAAATGTTACATTGAACGGCGTATTGTATAGGCAATATAGAGGCATCATTGCATATTCAATCTACTATGCCACTCATCAGTTTAGTAGTCGTCGTAGTAAATATATTATTTTCCATTATATGTTCATTTCTATGTTAGAAGTCTTATAAAAAAAAATATGTAAACCATTTATTTTAAATATCTATAGATATATATAAGAAAAAAGTAAAATCCAGATTATTCATTCATTATAACTCTACGACGATACCCGTGTACTTTATGTCCCTAAATACATTAACTAGATTCTCGATAATTAATCTTGACTAAGTAGCTGATAAAATCTTGTATAACGCTGAATTAAAATTGGATTGAAAAAAATTGTTTGTATTATTATTCACACAATTGTAATTGTTATGATCATTATTATTATTATTTTATCATTATCATTTATTACTTTTTTGTTTGTATTGAGTGGATTATCAATTTATATTGACAATGTTAGTTAAAATGTGTACTTAAAAGAATGATAAAAGTATTCTGTATACTTTTCACTTAATAATTACAAAAAAAAGTTAATTCGGTATAATCTGATAGTTTTTTAGACTAGTCAATTATTTTTGAAAACATGGAGCAATATCACTATAATATTGTAACAAATTTGAAATGTTGACATGATGAGTAAATTGGATTGTAGCCTGTAGGTAATATAAGTTAACTTCATAAATGTTTTAACAGTCGTAGTTAGTAGAGTGATAAAATATATATCTTAATAATAAATAAAAGTTTATAATTAAKAATAAAGTACCTATATTGAATATGAACATCAACACATCGATAAATATGTGTATCATATTAGGTACACGCATGAGTGAATTCGAGCAAATGAAAAAAACTTAATTTATGTATAAAATATTTTATTGTTATTGCTAACTAACAGTTGAAAGCCCCTGCTATTTTAATGTAACATAATTTTTGTCACTATAGGTACATTCACAAGACAGTTAAGCCGGTTTTTTTTTTCAACCCCGTAGTTGAATATAATATTATGTCATGATGTCCTAGTTACGCAACTGAATAATTGCATAATAGGTGCACAAGTCGAGTAATATATATAATATATTTTGAGAACGTGAACAAAATATATACCCAGCCATGTAAATAGCTAGTATAATATACCTGACATACTGTATTCAACATCATTCAGTAAAATATGTGTTGGATTATGATATACGACAGTATTTCACAYGCAACAATTTGAATGACTTTTTATAATTTGTGTTAACCTTTTTTTCGAGTCTCAGAAATCATTTTTATTGACACAATTAAAAATAACTAGGTACCTCTTTTTCAAAAATTATAATATTTTAATTAAAAATAAAATAAAATCGAGATTTCAATCATCTCAACATAATTATTATCTCATTTAGTATATACTTTTGCTTCTTACAAAATAGAAATTAAAACCAATAATCAGTTGTCATTACGCCATAGAATATATACATTGCAAAATGTATTTCAATTAAAATAACACAATTATACACGGGCCAATCATATACTCACTGAATTGACGTACAGCTAATATTCGTGGTTATAGTATAATTAGAAAAAAAAACTACAAGTTTTACATGGAAAATCGACATTGTTGTATTAATATTACATTATTATTAAATTTTAATTACATTGTTATATAGGTAACACAATACCTAATGTGCATAATTAAGTGATGTATTGTATTATTTTCAACTGTGTTTGCACTAAACACCGGTCGGGAAAATTGCACTTGGCGTTTCTAACCCGATCGGACCTATCGAACTTCACGGTCAAACTACGGACGRGTGGATTCATCATAATATTGTTCATTGTTCGATGCTCATAGGTAACAATCCCGCCCAACCACTCGCCGTTCACTAATTAACCACTACGGTTTGAAAATATACTGCAGTATAGTATAWATGATATATAGTAATACATAATTCGTACGACGAAATTGTTTCCACGGCGGCGCTTGTCGATCGTATAATTTTATACTATTTTCGTCGCAGTTATATAATATTATTATGGACGTCCACGCGACCGTCGCGGTGCGTACTCCGCCGCACTAGTCAGCTCGCGGACATTAGCGCTCCGTTTTGCCACCGTTCGGTTCGCGCGATACGCCAGCCAAGCGCTAACGCGGCGACTTAACAACAGTGCCCCCGAACTCAAAACGTGTGTAAAGACCGACAGAYGACGACGACGTCTACGACGTGATGCGCGTGTGATCTTCGATATTATCGTCGTAGACAGCTGCGGTACCGCGATTTTCGGTGAAAAAAAAAATAAAACAGAAAAATACATTGTTTGCGCCCGTGTAGTCTCCCTAACCGTTCGGYCACAGCCACCAGTCGCTACCACCATACGTTCCACGGTATCGTTTCGCCTCAGGCCGTTATCCATAACAATATTAAAATATTCCGTCATAATATACCACCATACTACCACTCGTCGTAACGTTTGTAATAATAATTTCGTATTATTATTATTGTGGTTGTTTGGCGCAACTTTCGATTTTGGTTAAAATATTTTTCGTGCTCTCGGCGATTTCTCCAAAACTCACGACTTTACTGCCCGGTGACAACCATTCGTGAGTACCATCTATTAAAATATTACAATATTATCGAATAGCAACAATAACTGTTTCATTATTTTATTTTTTCTGAAGAAATATTGTGTTTGTATTATGTTAATTTACACAAAGAAGAAATACATGTATATTATTTAAAAACTTGTATATTAAAATAAATTTAAAATACGCTATTTAGTAAGTCCTACGCTTATGCTCTCGACCTTCATTGAAACTAAAATGTGGTTAAGATAAGTAAACTGACGTACAAATAATTATTATAAATAAAAATCTCACATTTCGACTTGATATTTTACCTTAAGTGATTTTCAACGTACAATTCAACCTGAGACGTGATACAAATACTAAACAAAATTATTTTCCACGATTTTGGATGGTGAGGCTGTACGTTCCTTTTAATAATGATGAATAGGAAGGTAAATCTAAATGTTCAATATCTTAGTGTTTTATAGAATATAAACTTTTTTACGGTGAATTATCAGTGTTAACTTTGTAACTTTGCAGTTTTTTGAATAATTATTTTTTCTATTTTATTTTTTATTCAGATTTAATAGATATTTTTTAATGTGGATTTAGAGTGTACTATAGTGYAGGTATAMTATTAATATGCATCAATAGGTAACAATCGAATTTCAGCGAAATAAGATGAAGAAGTATTAAGTAAATACTTCGATACATGAATAATTGAATTTGATTAAAAAGTAATACGCTTTCTAATACAATTAATAAATAAATATAAGATTTAATGAAAACACACCCGTCATAAAATAAATATTATACTCGCTAATTTGATATTCAATTATTATATTTATAATAGCATTATTGATAATAGGTACTTTATAAATATTGTACTGTGTACATATAATCATATTGTATAACATGTCTACTTCGTTGGAGTAATAACATTGTGGCATGCATTACATGATGTGATGAATATTGTATTAAAATGATTCATTAAGAGTGAATGTCGACAAATGTCGAAAGTTGCGAAGAAAAATGTTAACCACTCCCACTAGTAAGAGTATCAAACAGCAAAACTTAAAAAAAAAAAATAATCACATTTATTATAAATCCATATATATCTTTATCTAACCTAATGTTAAAATGTGCATTATAAATAAGTTATAAACAATGTTTTCAAGTGTCAAAATTATTATATATTKATCATAGAACATTTTTCTCAATACCAAATTTTAATTTTGTATTAACTAAATCTAAAATATGTTTGAATATTTGCTTACTTTAATCTATCTCTATATTTAAGTACACGTGTACACAAATATAAATCACATTAAGAAAATTAACTTAACTACAATAGCTGCATTTTGATTACTGATTACATAATAGTATAATATATTATTGTATTAGGTGTCCGTGACAGAAGTAATTTCTTAGTTAAAATTCAAAATTAATTCAGTATAGAGAAGTTTAATTTCTCGTTTCGTTTATCTGAATTATTTACTAATATTAATCAAATAGGTATGTAAATTAATTATAATCTGTTAAAAACCTAAAAATGTTTCATATTATATTATAAATAGTTTGGAAATAATAGGTATCGTGGCGTTATAACGTCCATAACGTAATAAAAACATACAATTGTTGAAACACAAACATGCAAATTTTTTTACCCTTAAAAATATAATATGCTCCCAACTTGGTTATTRGCTAAACARAGTGTTTTGTCTAGTAATCATAATAATATGATACAAGACGTGATTGTTAAGATTTGTTAATTTTTTGCAGGTCATATATTTTTAATGTTGCATTTTTAAACTTACAAGTAATAACACATTAAAAATGCATAAATATAAAATAAAGACTAAGGGTTAACTAATTAACAAACTTTTCTGAGAGCTATTACTGATTATAACTTACGAGTATAATAAATTAATATGACATGCCTATAAATTACAATATTCAAAGAAAGGTCTTGATAAACTCATGGATTATTTTGTATTCGTGTATATTCGTCATGATAAAGTTCCCTATAACCACTAGGGAAAAGTATCGAATAGCTTTTTCATTTAAAAATAATTGGTGGGATCTTTTAATTTTAAAATAAATATTTTTAATGATTATTTAAACACACTTTTTATTATTATTATGAATGATTTAAATATTATCTTTCATCATTTGAATTTTTCACTTTAGGGAATACACTTATCCCTAGATAGGTTTCATTGCCGTATTTAAATATAAAACCACAATGAAAAAATCGCCGGTTATGTTAGTTTTTCAATAATTGCTACACCATTTTTTTAATTTGCAAAAACAACTTTGAAAAAATGTAATGCAAATTAAAATAAATAATAATTTAAAATATAAGTACAAGAAATTAATTAGACTGAAATGTATTCTTTGAAATATTATATAAAATTAATAATCATTAAATATTTATAATAGGYAATTTAAATGCAGTGGTATAAACGTATACCTGCCTTTCATAACATAATGTAGGTATAACCACTATAATAATTATTAAGATATAGCAAGCATGGGTAATAAGAAATTTTGTGGAAAATATTTTGTAAATTTAGTTTGAAAACAATTAATTGGATGAACAGTGTATACAATTTAAAAAAAAAAGAAGAARAACTAAACATWAGCCACGGCATCGGAATAAGTCTAGGTCCAAACCCTGAAAATGAATCCAACACAATAGAATTTTTCAATACACAACAATAAAAATAATAAACCTACTGCAAGTCACAACTAAAATATTGTAAAATTATTTAAGATATATACCATAATATTTATTATTATATGATTGTATTTTACTAAAAATGTAACACTAGTGGCATGTATTGTCAAAGCGGAAATTTATTTATATTATTCCATTGAAGTTACTTCAATATGGGTAGGTTGGTTTATTTATTAAAACATTTATTTAGGTAAATATAGACAATATGGTTAGTTATTAATTTTTATAATTATAAAAATTATCTAAAAGTCATTTAAGCTGTCTAAACTTCCTATTATAGGCAATATTAACTAATTGTTGTTTTTATGTAATTTTTTTCCAGACACCAATAGGTTAGGAAATTATAGTTATTTATACTGTATAAATACTTATATAGTTTTAAGTAACCTATACAATTTACTATGTACATACACCCATGTTTAATGTCTTCGTTAGGTTCCAAAGAAGATATCACCTGACTTTTTAAATTCCTGTAATAGTAATAATTTGTGGAATATTGYATAAATCATTTCTAAATTTGTAATCGTCGAACAATAAACTATGTGGCTGAAGTGAAATTAATACTAACGCAGTCCCCRCCTGAGTTCAAATAACACATGAGAAAATGTACCAAAGTGTATGGAAGGAGAACTGTGGACTTATAACTAGTATCACTGGACTACAGTGATTTCAAAAATTTAATTGAAAAATTAAATAAAATACCGAATCAAGTTTGCTAATTGCTAGTCGTGATAATAATAAAATATATTACTCATAATGCCTAGTTAAGTACCTAACTAGTTTACAAAATCGAATCAAATTYCAATGATAATTAGTTTAGTTGTATGAATTTAATTTGAATAATAAAATAATACCCCTTTATTATAATAACCTAAAGATCATCAGCTATTGATTTATAATCGTAATGTTTTTTGTCAAAATAATTATTCTTAGAAATCTTAATTATGACACGTGCACAATCGTAAAATTTTAAAAACCAACAGTAAAAAAAATTWGTGAACAAACTTACCATGACCATCTGATGTTTTAATAAAATTAAAAACAAAAAGAGTGTCTTTTAAATATTAAAAATCTATGACTTTTGACCCATTTAATTAATATATATATATATAAAAATGTCTGTGTATATGTATAACGAATGGACTTATTATGCTCCCAAACTACAGTAAAATAAATATAATTAAGTTTTTCCTAGATTTTCAATTTTGTTCCTATTGYATTATATGATTTGAATTACTAATTGTGAATCTATGCATATAATAGAATAATAATAAAAGAAAAAAGGATAAAAACGTTTTTAATTTTTGTTRACAATACAACAGATTTTAGTAATGACTTATGATATAGTTATTATAACATTGTATAATATTTTATAGGAGGTAGGGCTGTTGCATATAATATTATTGTACCTATATGGCTATATCACCTTATTGTTTGAATTATATGTGTACATTAAATGATCCAACTCTAAGATGTCTATGTACTATATTGTGTGTCAATGATACCATACAGCAGAGTAAGTGACAATACGAAAGCGTAATAAAGTAATACAATTTCGTATAATATATTATATTATACCTACGCCATATTGTCAATCTTTATAGATATTTACAATGTACAATAATGTATTGAAGTATACTGTTCAAGTCTATACTGCGGCAACAGTATTAGAGAGTGCTACTAATGTCTGTTATATATAATTACATATAACTAGGAGTATATATATATATATATATATATAAGGTGGGTGTTAACTAGTTTAAAAGCTAAGGCCAAGTTAAAATGTATTTTAATCTTTTTAACTAAACCACCGAGTTTGTTCCTAATTTAATTTATAACTTAACTATCTATTAAAATAATCCATTGTAACAAATTAAATTTTAAAAGTAATGCGTGAAGTTAAAATCTATTTATATATTGTATCATTTTACATTTGTATCTAAACAGTTGTAAATTAATTAAACGTATGGCATGGGTATTCTTTTAAACTTAGAATTACTACAATTCATATTTTGAGTATGGGTTGTATAGTCTATTCGAGCGTGAATTTTAACTGATTCGCATCCTATAGCGTCCTCATGAGGATTCTTTTGTAAAAGAAAGCATAATAATTTAATCAATTTTTTCATTAATTTCTGCACGTGTATATTAATATTATTGACCGACTTTTTTTTTCATTTCCAATATAACTATTTTTAGTGAAGGGAGACATTTACTTTATTTAGAACAATAATTTAGTATAATGATTTTACCTACCTATATCATCAGTTAAACACATTTTCCCGTTGTCACTATA